ATAATTAAAAAACTAAAAATATTCAAAATTAAAAGTTCAAGATGACATTTAACTTTTTATATATTGTTTCTAGTGATCTATATGTATTTTTTTTAATAGTGAAAAATGGGTAGATTGAAAAATAATTACAATAATACTGTAATTGCAGCTTGAACTCTTGACAAAAAAAATTAAAGTTATTGGTGGATTTTCATCACGAACTAATGCCACCAGTGCTAGTGATTTGTATGTACATATATATATTTTATCATATTAAAATTAGTTACATGTATTAGTTAAGTGAGGAAGGAAAAAAATGAGATTTGTGGAATTTGAATACGTCACTCATAGGAGATGAAACGACCTTAATTCAAGGGTTTATACCACTGAGTCGAAGCGGACTGTTCGATTTGTATGTACATACAAGAAAATGGGTTTTCTGTGACTAAAAATGGTGACTAATTAAATGGTCACTAGTATTTTTTATATTTGTGACTAATTTAAGATAATAATCACTAATATTAATTTTTATTATTATAATATATAATTTAGATACAGAAATAATATTTAGTCACTAAAAATTTGTCACAATAAACTACTTAAATTTGTGACGGACAAAATCATCACAAATAAATTAAGTATTAGTTATTTGAAAAATATTAGTTACAAAAGATAAATTTATGTCACAAACGCTCTTTTTCTCTTGTGACTAAAATTATGATTTGTAACAAATATATTGTGATTATATGCGGTTTGTTACTAAAAAAATTCACAAGATGTAACAAAATTTTTTGTCACAATTAATCCACAATTTAATTTAAAAAAAAAATAAATTAGTTACAACAATATTAGTCACTATAAATTAGGTAAATATTTGTGACTAATAAAAATCTGCCACAAATAAAAAAATTTCATCATTTATAAATTTGGTAATGAAACCATTTAAATATCACCAAAATAAATGGTTTTTTTAAAAATAATAATCCATAATTTTTGAGATGGAGAAAATTCATAATTTCTTATGGATAAAAGTCAGCATTATAAAATTAACTTTTCTAAAAAAAAAAACATAATTTATTATTGTCCTAGAAGATTTAATACAATTTGATCAATTTAAAGTGTTCATTCTACAAAAATTAGAGGATGAGATCAGCCATTTTACTATTATAAAATTGTGAAAAGGGGCTGGAAACCCGACACGGACATAGTGTCGACACATAGTTCGTGGTATCAACACTAAGAGCATGTCCAGTGTCAATAATCTGTCTTTGAATCCA